ACTGTCTAGACTCCAGATCAATAAATTAGAGATCTAATTTATTGTGCAGTGATCCACTTTTTTCAGTTTTGATTCCTGAGGTTTAGTATCAGACGATACAGAAAATCAGCTGAATTGACTTCAAACATTTTTTTATATACTGATGTGCTGCACCAGTACAGCACACTTAAATACACCAATAGATTCACAGGTTTGGTCAAACATGTAAAAACAAGATAACTTTAATTTGTTCAGTCAGTGAAATAAGCAATATAACAGCAAATATAAAATGAATAATAAGGAAACTAAAATTAATAAAAACATTTTGTTGACTGTCTTGGTCAAACAATAAACATAAACTGCAACAAACCTTTTTTCAAATTGTTCAGAGAGGGCAATTAGGCATTCTAAATATATCAAATAAAGCATGATGTCACCAATACCTGATCCAGAATTGTTTTTCAATTTTGGGACAGATTCAGATATTAATATCGGATTAGTGCATCGCTACAATAAAATCAACACAAAATATTTTCTTCAGGTAGATATTTTAAAAAAATCAAGTAGTATTCATATAATCCAGGACTCCACAAAGCAGGAGTGCTCCTCTCTCTTGCTGCTAGCTCCACATTTGTGAAAAAAGATTACATCTATAGGACTTTAGTTCGTCTTACAGGTGTGGATGCTCAGCTGTGCCCCCTGCTGGGCAAAGCTCCTCACCTCATCAAAGATCTCCAGGTAGAAGGAGTCGACCCCTGGTGGTACCGTACACTGGATCACTTTGTTCCAACGTGGGTTCTTTGCTCCGTTATGAGCAGTCGGGGTCTCGTAGACCGCATAGCCCAGTCTGATCCTGCAGTACGGATCCATCCGGGTCATCCCGTAGTTTTTAGCCAGCTTGGCCTGCACAGGTAAACACATAGCAGCGATAGTAAGGAATTAAATACAAGCTGGCTCCAATAATTTCAAACTGTATAATGGAGTAAGTGTGTCCAATGGATGGGAGAAAAAGAGTTCAAATCTATGATAAGGACATAACGCAAAACACTTTCATACATATGTTCAGCCTAATAAATGCAATTTACATGAAGAATAACAAATTGCAGAGTCATTAACATACCCAGCTAAATACACTAAGTTGCCGCTTGAACAGTCCATCTTACCTGGACTACAGTGATGCTAAGTCGGCCCACGGTGTTCACCGAGCCTCCGTACTGCAGCTGGCGGGCCGTGTGGGCGTCCAGCTGGACCTGCTGCTGCTGCTGGGTGGGAGCGATCCGCAGGAAGTCCTGCGGCAGCTCCCCAATGTACACCTGGAGACACGACCCACTGCTGAGGACGAGGCAAGGCCGCCACCAAACATGACTAACAAGAAGGTCTGGCACCAGAACTAATTCTGCTGGTTGATAAATTGTCCAAAAAATTATTGCAATTTATGCCCCAGTCGATTTATTGGATTCAATTTCCTTCATTTTGGGAGATTGGTGATCAGCTGATACTTACATGTGAAGCCAATCTTATCTCCAATCTTATTTACAGTAGCAAAAGTCTAAAAATCAACCACTGTCCTCTGCTCTCCCTTGAGAGAGGTTTGACTGACAGACTGACACCACAAGGTCATGTCCGTCACCCCACTGTTGCAAAGTCAGCAACTTTCTTGCTGTATTTAAAAACATTTCAATAAAAAAATGTATATAATCGGCCAAAATCAAAATCACCAGGTTAGGCTTTATAAAGATCTGTAATGGGCAATCGCCCAGAAAAGCAGTGCACGCCTAGTGCAATAAATAACATTTATATAATTTTAATATAATATAATGGTAATGACATTACAAATACACCCTCTGGTGTTAGTTGTTAGCCAGTACAACAGTCCCTTAGTCACTTCACTTGTTAGGAAAGTTTTCCTAGCCTGCTGCAATTACTCTGTTGCATTAAGCTGCTTGTCAACAACAATTTTACAGCCCATTACATAGGGATGCTCAGATATAAAAATTCAATCAATGTTGATAGCCAATATTAATACTGCTGTTATGCACTTTCTCTATTTTCAATTAAATCTTAGAATTTAGATTAGTTAATTTTTATTTGCTTATTTTCTAGTTGATTTATAATTAGAATTTGTTTAATTTTTTATTTAGAATAAGTTCTTTGGTTAGGAATTCACTTAATTAATTAATTTCAGTTGGGATGTGGGTGTTTCACCGTATAAATAGGTAGGCTTTAGGTAACTTATTATGCACATGGGTGGCCATAAGTTTTTTTTGTTTTTTTTTTACCAGTCTATGGAATCAGTCTACCAGTCTCAGTCATCAGTTGTCAGTCTGTCAATCAGTCAGAGAACAGGTGCAGGAATCAGAGCAGGAGAGTAGCAGAATCCTGCGAAGCCTGTAACTTTTTGTCTGAACAGTGGAATAAAACAAACAAAGAACTACATTTTGACTTTTTGGACTGTGTAAGCCAGAATCCACGATGACTAACCACGATGACAGGTGACTATTTGAGTTGTATTTACCTTTTCTTTTGATCACCTTTAATTCTTGAGTTTTTTTATTTTTGAGTTTGAGTTTTCAACAAATAGTCACTACATGGGTGATAATGGACATTTACCAATATCATACTGATTATATTCCTTACACTTATGACGCTGTAAAAGAGATCACACCGACTTCATTCTCTGCTTCAGTTAATACTCCATAAACTTGCACTGCATCACACTTCCATGTTTTCCAAACAAGATTCTAAATTAAATTTACAGCATGTCTGCTGGTAAATGGAAATTTAAATGATGCATCATGTTGGGTTGAACTTGCAGGGAGGAGGCGCTGAATGTTGTTTGCCCAGCCCAGGGCACCGCACAGGCTAGGACCGCCCATGCCTGAGTCATCTGGAAGGTTGATGCGTCAACAGCTCTTTAATGTATTTTATCCTGATGTAAACTTATGTTTAGCACATACACTAGTCTGAATCTGTTGTCAGCGAGGAAACTCAGTCATTAAAAAATCTGAGCGCGGCTCAGCCTGAAGAACTCCTCCATCATTGAGGTTAAAAACAAAACGCAGACATGATGCGATCTGATGAATCCCTAAATGTGGTAGAAGAAAATCATTTGTCGGTGTGTCTGTGTGTCATGATGTGACCGCAGCAGCTCAGATCTGACAGGGAACTGAATAGAGAAATGAGAAGCTGTCCAAGATGCGGAAAACATTCAACAAGAAGATGAAGCTAGCTCCGACAGGACAGAGGCTAGCTGACCAACAGCTAACTAGAGGGTAATTAGACGATAAATCCGAGTAAATGAGTCTGTCTGAGGCTGAGCTGGGAGCCCGGCTGGCTGGCTGTCTGTCAGTGAGAGACAGAAATCAGGACACAAGTTGCGCCAAGCTGTCAGTCAGTCCTGGAGTTAACGCAGTCCGTTACCTGTCCCCTCTGGGTGCTGATGGTAGTCGCCATGTCGTTCCTTCAAGAACTGGACTCAGACACTGTCGAGTAGTGACGCTTCTTGAAACAATTAAAAAAGTCCTTAGTGACTCATTAAAAACAACCGAGCTTCTGTTTTTGGGCTGAAACTGACTCCGGAAATGTCTTGCTATTGAAGATAATGGTGCAGTGCTGCCCCCAGTGTACGGCGGTCTGCTTCCTGCTTGTTCTCGCTTTGTAGCGCAGTACCGCCGCTAACCAGCAGAGGGGGCCAGAATCAACCATTTTCCCCAGTCAAAAATGCAAAACAAAACAAATTTACTAAGTTTGTCTCCTGTATCTACAAAATACTTACCTCCTCCTTTTCAATGCAAATTGTAAGATGCTACTTTTATTTACTTTTAAAAACTGATAGAAAACATTTCTTATTAAACATCCTCTTTCTATGGTGTATTCCGTGTATTCCTAACAATTTAGAATAACTTACATAAGTTTTTAATAAATCTTGTTTGGTCACAAAGCAAGATTAATAAATTGGATATTTTCTTAAATTTGTTTCTTTCAATCCCTTTTTCAATATGGACACTAATGAGTAATACATACAGCTTCCTGTCACCCAGTGGCGTTGCTTCCAGAGTAACAATTTTTTTCATCTGCTTCACACCATATCTACCACTTTCAGAGCCTGCATTGCCAGAGCATCTAGTGCTTCATGCCTGTATTCCCATCTGAGAAGGGATCCACATAAATCTCACAGTTGGATGTTTCATTCCATTAAGTTTTTATGTTCAGAATTCCAGCAAACCTCTGGGGGAAGGTTGTGGAAAGAAACCCAGAACCTTTGGGTAATACAGTTCAAAAGCAATGACTGAGGAAATGTATGTTTGATTTTGAGGACATTAATAAATAAGTTGTCATTTAGCAAATAAAAATTATTTTGGTAATTATAACTGACCCAAAACAAGAAAGGGTAGGTCTGATTTCACTTCAGACTGTGGAAAAAAAATAGACATGTCATTATGCAGTGGTCATAAATGTCAAGTTTCAACTGATTGTCATTGACCCAATTGTCATTGTTGGGACCTTGAGATAGATATGAACATAAAGCTTGTTCATATCTATGGACCCACTCATCCAGGGTCAGAGTCTCTCAGGGCAATACAGTCTTACAGACCTAACAAGCACCAGCTAATATTCAGTCATGTTTTTGGACTGTCAGGAGAAGCTGGAGTACCTGAAGAGAACACAAGCATACAATGGGAGGATATGCAAAATCAATGCAGAAAAACTCCAGAATCCAGGACCCTGTTTGCTGCAAAGTATTCCTACTAGGAACTACCGTATGAAGATTGCCATTTTCATAACATGTTGAGATTATGATTCAAACTATTTTCTTACTTTGAGATTACATAAAAGTGATTATATGTCTTTGGAACAGACATGACAACATTGGTCAACTCAAAGAGTTGGATCATTCATTTTAACATTAAAATTCAGTTACATCCATCGTCTCCCCGGTTGTCTGAGCAGGTTTGCACGGATGGTGCTTCTAGTACTTGAAGCACTAAAAATTTGTTGGAAAAAAAAGACAAAAGCCAATAAAATATGAAATCAAAAAGAAAAACTGTATTCCAAAAAAACAAAATTCATATTGGTAAATTACGCAAACTTTTAGACGTACAGTGTATCTTTGTATATCCAGTGTGTTCAATATTCTGTTAACAGCTGGCACAATCTACTACAATTTCTCTTTCAAACAGATGTGAACACACCATTCAGGCAGCTTATGAGTGCAAGAATCATTCCACAAAAGGCAAGGTGTTGTGTATGGTTTCCAGAGCAAAGCAGCGGTAATGTACCACACGTCAATATGAAAATATTGCTTCATCTGACAAATAAAAACATTCTTAGTTGAATTTTTGATTGAATGTTAGACTATACAGAAAAGTCCCTGGAGCCTGGTGTGAAATGAGCTCAGGAATCAATGTGTCCTGGTGAGCCAGACTGCAGGGCAACGTCGGCTCATTGGTTGTCCTCAGAGTCCTGATTGTAGCTCAGGTGGCTCCGCTGAACCTCCAGCTCCTCTGCGCTTACCATGGCAGGATCTATGGCAGCATACCTGGTTCCATGGAACTGACGCAAGTGAATCTGAAAAGTAGTACAAACCAAAATGCCGTCATTTAAAATTTACATCACATCAAATAGATACTGTTTTGTGGACAGATTTCTGTCTGCAGGGAAGAGGACTTTGTCTAAAGTAGATTCACTCTCATCACTTTTGTGAAAAAGTCACAATATATCATAGACATGATGTGATACTCTTATAAATCTGTCTGGTCCTCTTGTAAACACAATCTGCTTTGGAATAAATTTCTTAATTACATTTCATCTTAAATGAAATATAGCCGAGGATCAGACCGCCGAGGTTCCCGCCTTCGGCCACCACCCATCCCACATTGCAACTGACCCCTTCAACCTCTCCCACAGGTGCTGAGCCCATGTGAAGGGGTACCTCATCTCCTCTTCAATGACCCCACTCTGTTTCCATTGGTGCTCCCTCACCCAGACAAAGTGCATCTTTGGGTTGACTTTGTCTGATCCCTCACCTAGAATCAGTTTGTTTTGGGTGACCCTGCCAGAGGCATGAAGCCCCTGACAACATAGTTATTAGAAGCACTGGGACACTCAAAGCCCTCCATCACAGTAATGTGAGAACCCATGGTGGGTCATTGATTCTATTCATAACAGAATAAGTGGACAGAATTTCTAAGCGCAGCCAAGGTGTTGGTGAGATCCGTTTTGGTGTTCTCAGGATCATGTCTCTGCTCTTTGCAGATGATATGGTCCTATTGCCTTCATCAAATCCGGATTTACATCTTTAGCTTGAGCAGTTCACAGCTAAGTGTGAAGTGGTTGCAATGAGGATCAGTGCCTCCAAATACGTGGTCGTGAGTCAGAAAAGGGTCGACTGCCTTCTGCAAGTCAGAGATGAGCTCCTGCCCCAAGTGCAAGAGTTTAAGTACCTTGGGATCTTGTTCAAGAATGAGACAAAAATGGAGCAGCCAGGACACACTGTGGGGAAGAGAGAGCTGAGTCAAAAGGCAAAACTCAATTTACTGGTCGGTTTATGTTCCCAACCTCATCTACGGTCACATCTCTGAAGCTCTGGGTAAAGACCAAAAGAGCAAGATTGCTGATATAAGCGACCAAGGTGAATTTTCTCTGTAAGGTGTCTAGGCTCTCCCTTAGAGACAGGCTGAGAAGCTCAGTCATCCGTGAGGGACTCAGAGTAGAGCTGCTGCTCCTCCATGTCAAGAGGAGGCAGTTGAGGTGGCTCAGGCATCTGATTAGAATGCCTCCCTAACCTGGTGAGGTGTTCCAGACACATCCCACTGGGAGGAGACCCAGAGGAAGACCCGGGACATACTGGGGGACTATATTTCTCAAATGGCCTGGGAACACCTTGGGATTACCCTGAAAGAGCTGGAACAAGTGACTGGGAAGAGGGAAGTCTGGGTCTCCCTGCTCGGGCTGCTACCCAACCCCCACACAGGTGGAAGATGATGGATGGATAAAGTCACAAGATATCGGTCCTTTAAATAGAAAATGGTTCTCAGATCACAAAAAAACTCATCTTTCAGATTGATCCTTGTAATAAATGACAGATTAATATTTACTAAAGATGATCAATTTTTGAAACATTAATAGAGTTTAACAGAATCTATTACTCTGTTAAATCAGCTTGTCCAGGTATGTTCCTGCCTGAACAGGGTTTAAGTCAGGAGCCCAGTTAAAGTCAAGATGAACTTTGAGGTATTTGCAGATAATTCATCCAGTAAATGACCAGAAAAGTTTGTCTGTTGGGCAGGTGATAAAAATGCTTCCCAAAGATTGAGAATACTCCCAGTAAAAAACCTTTTCTGCATCCTAAGTTACAGATCTTCCTCGGTACTCAGAACAATGAAAGCTTCCTGGAATACACGCAGGGTGTTGGTCCATTTCTGGTTGCAAAAAATAACTTTCCTCACTTCAGAGAGAATGCAAATACTGTAGATTAGTGGGTTAAACATTGTGAATCAGAACCAACCTGTATGTAAAGGTTGACCTCAGCGCTCCTGCACAGATATGGGAAGTTTCCTCCAGTTTTCAGATGTGCCCGTCTAGCATTGGGATACAGTTTATACATCTCTTCTTTGGCCTCCAGTGAGAGGGCGCTCTGATCAAACACCTAAACATCAACAACATAGCTAGGTCAGACGTGCTTGGAATACACAGGATAGAATCAGATAAAGAAGATTAAAAAAACCCAACAGAACTTACATCTATGATGGTCACAGCAACATCTTTTATTTTGTGAGGCTCAACGTAGGAGTTCTGACAGTTAAGTGTTAGCCTTGAAGCTAGCTCGCTTTGGCTCAGACTCTCCAGCTGTATTAGGAAAACACAGACTGATGTGGTTAACACATAAACACAAGCATGAGGATTCAACTTTTAATGTCAGGATTCAACTGTTAATGTCATTATTAAAGCTGACTGACATCCATGGTTGCATACCCTATCTACCATGAAGTCGATTGCATCTGCCATCTTAGGGTCCACAGGTCCTTTAGCAAAGTTTCCCAGGACAATCTTCTTCAGCAGGAAAGCTGGCATGAGCCAGAAACTGGCAGCAACACAAAAGCAGCATGAATGAAGAGACTCTAAAATGAAACCATCATGTGAGAGTGAGTCAGTGGCACCTGTTTGCAGTCCATGTCTGGTGAAATATGGACGTGTCACTGAATGAGTTACACAGGATCAAAGAGTGCACTCTGGGAGACTTGTGAGTATACTCTGCAAACTTCTGAGCCAAGAATCCTCCCAAAGACGCCCCGAAAAGGTGGACCTGAGAGTGACATGGGATCAGCGTTACACAGACGTCATACACACATTACACACATAAACCAGCCATATCAGGCCAGGTAGCTTCCAAATACATAGCCAAACACAACAAAAGGTGCGATACCACCAATGATCATGGGGATGGTGTGGCACACCTCATGCATGACTAGTGCAAGGAACCAAAGAGAAGAAGAAGACCGAAAAAAAAAAGTTAATCTTCTCCATCCACATACCCTGATGGCTGCACAGAAAACTTCTGTCTACTGCAAAGCCTCTTCTTAAGTTTTTTTCAGAGAATGTGAATTATCAAAATGTCCACCTTTATTTTCCTCTGAATGAACTCTGAACTGTCTTATGATGGCTATACTGCCTAACACAATGGCAACCTAACAAACACATTAAAAGGATGAGGTTGTCTTTTACTCGACACGGTAACAGACAGGGGGACTTATTATTGTGCATCAGGAGACATAAATGGGCCTCAAGGGATCTATGAAAACAAAGTTGGACCTTGTCCAGCTGAAGGTGATCCAGAAGCTTCCGGAAGCCATCACAGAACTCCAGGAGGTCCCAGTATACTGGATACTGCAGCTAAAACAGAACAACATATGATTATAACAAATATTGTAAGCAGCCAATATTTCTGATCACTTATCAATAAATTTGAGATTTGATACAAAAACAAATGTGAGGCATCAAGAATGGCTGAAAAGAGTCACAACAGCTTAATCTAGAACAGGAACAGGCTTTGCACTGCATTGGTTCTGTAAGAAGATATGGTAACCGCGGTGCAGGGGTCAGTTATGTAACCAGTGGGTTGCTGGTTCAAACCTCAGCTCCATCCATCTTAGCCGTTGTGTCCTTGGCAAGACACTAAAACTTTAGACTGTGAAAAGATTACCTTTTTGTGTATTTCTACATAATGTCAGAGGTAAGATATGAGTGAAGCAGAGATGATTTATCCTCTTGTAGATGCCAGTGATTACATGAGCACTCCTGCTGTGGTGAACTCACCGAGATTACCCTGTAACCCCAGCCAGTCAGGGCCTGCACCTGCTGGAAGAACACCTCCGCAGTCCCACTGACTGGGGGAAGGAAGATGATTGGACACCTGATACTTTTTGGGCCGGCATCATACAGAGACCACACCTTGCTGTCGTCATCGTCAACAATAATCTGGAAAACATACACACGCACACAAACACAGACACTTGTTCTGTAACCTGATGGTTGCATTTATCTTAAAAATGATAGTGTATGGTAATACACTATTACACCATATTAGAAAGAAACAATATTTATTAAATGCCCATAAAAATAATAAAAATCCCACATCATGCAACACTATTCTACCTGGTCGTTGCTGTACACACATTTCAAGACATGATGGTCCTGGCAGCTTAAAGCAGCAGTCTCAAACTCCAGTCCTGAAGGACCAGTGTACTACTGTTAGAAGTCTCTCTACTTCAGCACACCTAGCTCTGATTGGCTCATCAGCATAAAGTCAAGTTCGAGGGTGAGGAAGTTTTACCATTTAATTCCAGTGTGTAGGACGATGCACACATCTAAAAGTTGCAGGACTCTGGCCTTCGAGAACTGCAGTTTGAGATGGCTAGCTTAAGCAGGTGGTAACTAGGCCTGTCACGATAAATTTTGCTGAGTGATTAATTGTCTAAAAAATTATTGCGAAAAACGATAATATTGTTTCAAGACCTTTTGACACTGATTTAATGGAAATGACGTAATAATGCATGCAATTTCCTGCTATAGATA